CACCCGTTCCAGACATAGTACCTGGATGGATGAACAGTTTCTTTGGAAGGGTTGGCATGGTTTATATAGGGGTTTATTGCAATGTGTCCCCACCTTGCCTGGATGAGGCATATAAGCCAGCTCTGTACTAAGTCCAGAACTAATAAAATGTGGTTTCTTTTCTTTGACAAACCCTCTAGAAAAGCAAGCGGCAGTGTTTAATGCAAACAAGTGCTAGGGCAAAGTGTGGGATTGTTTGATTTGTTTCTAGGTAGGCAAGAAAATGGGGTATTGTCAGTAAAAGCACCCCTGCTTAATTGTCTCTGGGCCAATCGCTTGTGTTTTGCCCTGGACAAAGCATGTTTCCTGAAGCTGGAAAGAGCTGCAGCTTGATTCCTACCTCAGCTTCTGAGGGTCCTCCTTGATCAAAGCTGTGCCAGGTTTTCAACATGAGTGTGACCTCTGGCCTCAACCAGCCTTTCCTGAGCGGAGAACTTCAAGCCCTCATAACAGTGTTGAACTCTTATATGAGATGGGGTGTTAACTGTGGGGTGGTACCTGTAAGCTGGCTATAGAGTCTCTGATGTTTCACTAAGCACCACTTGCTTTCAAAGGCAGCCCTGGAGCCCCGTGACCTTGTGTACGTTTTCAGATCTCACCTGTTTTCATACGCTTGCAGCCACATACCTATAACAAGTCACGATACAGGTTTCTCAACTATCCGTGAGTATGAAAAGCTTCAACACAAGCTCCTTCAGTTGACCCGTAGGTAAGCCCTGTGTGGTAAGAAGCAAGCTCAGGTGAGTCTTGCCACGAGAGGGAGACATCATGCGTGTAGCCCATGTGTTCCCTGAACACATCCACCTGGATACGACAGCCTAGCCTGGGATTTTGTAGCATTTCTGGGCACATGCAGTTGTTAGTGAAGAGTGAGAACCCAAACTTTGGACCTCAGTTATGCAGCAGGTACCTGTGATAGGAAATGGGGACGTATCTGTTGGCTAGTCATCATCTTCCAAGCATCCATAACTAACAGCCACAGAGCACACAGAAAATGGAATCTCAATCTGCTAGCAATGGGATAGCATGTGTCTGGCCCTCTCTGGTTCAGGTCAGGGACATCCTGGTGCAAGCAGGACCATGCAGCACCGACGGAGATGTTTCAGATACCTGCAGCTGGCTGGCGAGGCCGTTCCCTGTTCATATTGCAAACAGCCATTAGAAAGGCTGAGCTACACCCTGTAACCAGCTCCAGCAGGCTGGGCCGGCAGGAGTGTTTGCACAGAGCTGTGAAAACACAGCACTGCGAGCTCGGCGGCACCCAGGGCGCCCGCTGCCACTCGGGAGAGCACCTCTGCTCCCTCAGCACCAGCCGGGAGATTTCATGGGAGAGGAGGCCTGTTCAGCGTGCATGGGATGGCTCCGTTTCCCCTCCAGATTTGCACTGCATTTTCCCATGGCTGCAGCACAACAGCGAGGCTCTGTTTTCCTTTGGGAAGGGAATAAGCTGCTTCATCATTGTGATCTCTGTGCAGTGTCCTGTTGATAAGCTCAGTTAACAGCATTGGAGGAAAACTCTAGATTCAGGTCTGAAATATAAAGTGAACAGGGCCTATTTGTTTAATTTGAGCTTCTAAGGTTTAAATCCCAGAGGAAATTAAATTAGGTGCCTAGAGCAATGGCAGTCTGTCATGTTTATTTGCTGGGAATGTCACCTTTAATATCATGCACATATAACGTGTGTGTGTTAATGTAATGGGGTATCATACTGTGCAGGAGCAGGCATGCTACAAGAGCTGGAAACGTGAAATATTGTGAGTGAGAGAAGCTGAGATGGGATTGGATTTATTCTCATCCTTCTCCATAGGAGCAAAGACTCACCAGCATGAAGGTGGTTTTGCTGATTGCAGGTGGGGATGGCAGCCTGATCTATGAGCACAGGCCTTAATGCTCCTGGGCCATTTTGATTGGGATACTCCTAAGAGGAGAAATCTTGTCTAGACGTGAAGGCAGGATGACAATACCTCTTGCTTCAAAGCCCTCTTCAGCAGTTGGTGTGCTGCAGACACATGCCTTCCCTCTGCATCCTCAGGAGAGCCAGTTTCCTGAGCTGAGGGACATGGCTGCTTGTACGTTCAGTTGCACCCATGCCTCAGAGACTCCCTTCTCCAGGAAGGAGAGCTGTACCCAGCAACGTGGGGCTGTAGGGTTTGGGGTGTTTTTTTTCCTGTCTCCTGTTGTTAAGGACAGGCTCTGAGTGACACACTGTGAATGTCACTGCAGCAGTTTGTCATTGCTGCCTGTGATGCCTGCCCTCCACCAAAGTGAACTGTCTATGCAGGCTTGCAGAACAGCTCTGCAATCTTTTCCTGTTGCTTTGATCTCATAAACACAGTCCACGAGACAGTTGAGCTGTGGACTCCAGTCCCAGTGCACTTGTCAGACCCTTCAGGGAGCCAGTTCAGATCACTGCATCAGTGGAATTTGGTTGTTTGGGGCTTTTCTTTTCAGCTGGATTACCAAAACTCACTGAGAGGGGACAGTGAGCTGCAGATGGCCTCAGCCATCTCAGGGGGTTGCACCCCAGGTCAGTGCTAGCCATACTGCTCCACCTAGCTTGTCCTTACTCTGGGAGTCTGTGGTTTAGCCTGGACTGACCTATCCCCCCCTTCACTCTCTCCACCCTTTGCTGTTTACTGCTGCATACCCTGTCTTGTTTTGCCTCCAGCCTCGGAGCAGCTGGCTGCCTTGCACACGTGGTTCCCATTTCTCTCCTGCCTCTGGCACCTCGGGAGCGCCCAGGGGTCTTCCTGCTGCGCTTGTCTTCTCGTCCCCTTGCCAAAGCCACGGCTCCTCGTTGCTGCTCTCTCACCCATCCCAACCTCTGGCATTTTTGCTCATCCATGAATGGCTGAATATTCATTTCCTCCTTGCTGCTTTCCTTGATTGCTGCGAATACCAATTCCTCCTCCTTTTTCCGGCTTGTTCTGTAGATTTTGATGTCTGCCAAATTGTTTTCATTCCCTCACCCCGTTGCAGGCTGCACCTCCGCAGAAAGCGATCTGCTCCACACAGAGCCCCGGCTCCCCACCCAGCTCTTCCTTGTGAGCTGAGCGATCAGGTTGCCCTCCTGCCTCCAACACAGACAGACAGCTTCCTCCTCCTGCAAACAGTCAACAAACGGGTGTCTCCAGTTCAACAGGCAGAATAGTTACAGGCTCCTGCAAGGAGACTGCAGCAGTTTGCAGTGGTACTGTGTGTTTTAGTGCAATGTTCCTCAGCTTGCCAGTCTGCAGATTGGTGCCAGGTTGCAGAGTCCTGTCCAAAGCAGCAAGCTCCTGGCTCCTAGCTAAAGCAGGTTTTTTTCAGGCTTGAGGTGTGATCAGAAAGGCCTGATGGAGGTGCCTGCATCCATGCTGAGCAGTTCGGTCATAAGCCCTGGCCTGGAGCCTGCTTGAAGCTAGGCAAAGAAAGGAATGTAGTGGAAAGGGGAGGTGCAGTTCCCTCATCCCCTGGGAAATCTGTGAGCAGTGGCAGCAGGGTGGCAAGGTTGAAGGGTATGGAACTGCAGGCACCTGATAGGTCTCAGATCTGGATTTGGTGTTTCTGGATCTCTTGCCAACAAAGGAAGAAAGGGAGACCTGAATCTTGCCTTTCTCTTTCTGTCCAATAGTCCTGCTAGTGTGTGACCAAATGGAACCCAGAGGCTTTCACTTGCCAAACAGCCCATGGCATCCTGGCGATCACCTGCTCCTTACTGGTGTTACTGGTGTTACTGGTACCAAGGAGCTGGTGGGTATGGGAGGTGGGGCTCTGTGGTGGCTGCCCCTCTTCCAGATGTGAGCTGGAGGGGAAGGCAGAGAGGAGTGGGGCTGGGCACATAGCTCCGTCAGTGTTTGGTGCTGGAGTGGTTCCTTCTATGGGAGGGAGCACAGAGTTCATTGCTGGAGAGAACAGAGAAAGGGAACAGTAAGAAAAGGGGCACTGGGGAGGTGGTTGCTGCAGGATGGAAAGCAATGCCAGAGACAGAGGAAAGGGTACAGTGAAGAAAGGAAAGGAGGAGCAGCAAGGGAGAAACAAACCTGTAGGCTGAAATGGAACTAATCCGCTGGATACTGCTGCAACCTAACTCCCAGGAATGCCACTGCAAGGCCCCCTCACCGCGTGGGGATGTTTGCCTGGTCCTGCACGGCTGTCTCTGCTCCTGTGCCAAGCCAGCTGGCCTGCCTGGAGCTCTGGCCTTTATGGCTGTTGTGAAGAGAGGCAGGACTTGTTTGCTTTTGGCTATCACATGCTTTTGTAAGAGGGTGGGAGTCCCTCCCCTTGAATTCCTGGGGCTGGTTCCCCACCCGCCCCCTCGGTGTCTCTGGTGTATGTGACCTGGGGAGCTCCATGGGGCCAGGGTCGTGGCCCTCAGCTGCTTTCCTGGGCTGCTTTGTGCATCCCAGCCTGGCCTTGAGATGAGGTAAAAGGTTTCTCAGCACAGGCACGTGTGATACAACGTGGAGGTGCCTGGCATAGGCACCTCTGGGACCACCTCCTGTACCCAGCATCTGGTTAATCTGAATGATGTGCTGCACTCAGGTCAGAGCCCTCCCCGTGCCCAGAGCACCAGCTCTGTATGGGTCCCTGTGCTGCTGTTTCTTGATTAAACTGAGCTTAACTTCAGTGGATCAGATGAAAGCGGCTGTCTCCCACTGTCTCTCTAACAGTTGTTATCCTGACCCTTTTTCCTCTTCCCCACTCCCTATGTCTAAAGCTGAGCCTCTAATTTTAGACTGAAGAAGATAATTGAGGTTCAAAGAAAGACTGCTGTATAATTTTAACTTTTTTCTTTCAGTGGTTGGGGTGGGAAGGAAAGTTAGGAGCTCCTTGCCCTCAAACCCTTGTATTGCAGGAAAGAAGGACATGGAGGAAGGAGTGAGCTCGTACAGTCTGCTCTCTGCAGAAGTCGTTCGGTTTCTTGGCTGTTAGCTAAAACTAGGAGTGTAAAGGCATAAACTACTCTATTTCCTTTGCAGATTCTATTGACCGAAGAGTTCGTAGAGAGAATGCTGGAAGATTTAGAAGATCTGAATTCTCCAGAGGAAGTAAGGCTGCGTCGTTCCCATATCTCCCATGTACTGTTCCAGAGAGCTTAGCCCATCCTGCAGCTTGCCTTTGATCCTCCCCTCTGCTCGCAGGCTGTAGCCTGCATCGTAGACATGAGGCCTTGCTAAACCTTCACATCTGCTGTGACCTAAGGCACTGAGAGAAGGGGTTGCGAGAAATGCAGGGCAGAGATGGGTATTAAGTGAGACTCTGCATTTCCTTTCCACCAGCATCTTTCCCAATGTGGTATGTGAGCACCCCAGATCAAGGTGGTGCAGCCCCTGAGCCAGGTGGAGGGGTTTCCTTCATGCCATGCATAGTTCCTTCCACAGGAGCACCAGGCACATCAACTTCGCTGCTTTGAGAAAGGCTGAAAGTGGTGGCAGTATTTTTACTGCTGAGCAACCTGTGATAGGGGCTTCCATTCTGGGGCCTGGGCAGCAGGGAGTGGGGGGGTTCACATCTGCTGCTTGGCCTTCACTTGCCAAGTGAAGGAGAGGACCATCACCAGCCTGGAAGCCTCATAGCAGCAGCCAGGGGAGCTTTACAAAGCTTTGCCGTGCGGTACTAAACTTCTCTCTGCCATGTGATCTCTTCCTGGGGAACATTTAACACCCTGTCTCCCATGCATGCCATATAAATACTCTGCTTGACTTCAAAGAGCAGTGGCAGAAATGACATGTAATATTTTTAATCCCATTTTTTACAGCTCCCTGCAGACTCTAAAGAAACTTTGCTTGGTTTGTAGAGCAGCCCTCCCATCCCTCACCCTGCTCCCTTCCCCCATGAAAATCTCAGGGCTCTAATTGTTTAATCCAAAGTTGATTTAATGCCAGGGTATTCTTCGCTGTGTGAGTGAGGGGAGCATGCTGCTAGCTGTGCAGTGACTTTCAGGCCAGCTTTTATCCAGTTAAACCTAATCCAAAGCTCATTTTTGCTAGTGACATAGAAGCCCAGGAGCACTTTGGTTTGAAGGCCCTTTAGTTAAGGCTTTGGACTGCTCTTGTTCCTTCGCTCTCCACTGAGAAGCAGAGGCAATGAGCATGGCAGCTCCTGGCACAGCAACTGGGCATTCGTTTCTGAGTTGCTGTGACTTTGCTGTATTAAAAAGTGGAAAACAAACAAATGCAAAGGATGACTTCTCCAAGAGGATTGCTTTGGAACCACTCCTGTTTATAAAAAGGAAAATACTTGAGATGAAATGTGAGCTTTCACCATCCAGATTCCTCCAAGGATTTGTAACTTGCAGGACCCTGGGTTGGGCCAACCGAAGGCGTTCCTCAGCAGCCCTTGCTGTTGCTGATGATGTTCCTGTGGTAGAATGAAGCGCTGCAATGAGAATCTTCCCTTTGCTGCATAAAGAGCCACCTGTGTTAAGTGAAGCTAGATGATCTGAGTATCTTTAGCATGTTTTTTACATACCCTAGAGCTGAACTCAGAAGAATCCCCTCAGTATGAGGGCTTGAGTTTAAAAAAACACCAGCCCTAAGTGGGTCTTGGGCTGTTTATGTTTCCTAGAAGAGAAAGAGTGGAAGTTTATAGTAGCCACTATCCTGAAGGACCCTTCTTCCATGCCCCCAGATCATGGCTCTGATGCTGAACCCCTAGCCTGCATACTCAGGTCGGTAGGTACCAACTGAAGGTCATCCTTATACACAGCTGCATATGGAGCAAGGTTGGGAGCAAATTCAAGTTAGAGCCACCCTTGCTGTGGAGCAGGCAGCTGGAGGGGATTTCCTTTAGCAGGAACTTGCCACTGGGCATGTGTTAATGTCCTTCAGAAATTGGGCACTTATGGGAAGAAAGACAAGTAATTAGGTAAGGATAAATGATTCCCAGGTCAGTGCCCCCTTGCACCAGCTCTGATTCACGTAGGCCCTGGGAAGCTTATAGCGTTGATGGCTTTGGTCTGAAGACTTTCCTAGGAGAGGATCACTGTATCTGTAACTGTTCTGGATAAGCTGCCTCCAGGTCAGGTTGTTACTGGTGGTGTGGGATCCCGGTAAGATTCCTTCCTGGGAGTCCTTCTGGGGTGTCAGGGACTATCGTGGTGTCAGTGGGTATAGCAGATCCTGCAGACTGGCTTCCAGAGCTGTCCCAACATGTTTTGGACCCTCAGGTTGGACACCAGGATTGCATGAAATGCCTGTGCAGAACTGGTTGCCATCCAGCTCTGAATGGGGCAGATTTGTAGCTTAAAAGATTCCACCCCCCACCTTCCACAGAGCTGTTTTTGAGGTCTCTGCGAATGCATGGGCCCTGGTCACATGCAGCTGTGAGAAGGGTTGGTGGTAAGGCCCCTTGGAGCTCTGTCCCTGTATGGTTGTGTTTGGGGTCAGAGATGCTGGGGTGACTTCCCAGCCTAAGGCAGGATGCCCTGGAGCGATATCAGGATGGGATGAGTGCACTCACCTTGTTTGGGAAACACTGGCCAGAGACAGTGCTGTGCAAACCAGACTGGGGCAAAAAAATCTCCGTTCTGAGTGCTTCAGTCAATGTTTGCAAAACGGCCTGAGCAGCTGAGTGCCTGTGTGAATATGAGGCATTGTACAGCACCCTGTGAAGCCTTTGTACCAGAGGTAGGTAGGGCTGGAGCAGAAATGCTGTTCAGGCACACTGTCTTTCCTCAGCCAGGGTTTGCCCACCCAGAGGTGATGGCCATTTGCAAGCCTGTCACCCAGCAGAGCCATGCTAGCTCACATCCCACCCTGTACCAACAAGAGTTTGAAAGCTGTCGTAAGTCTCACTTTAAAGCAAATGGGGGCTGGTGTAGTCCAAGGAAAGGGATATGGTCAGGTAGGAAGGGAGATAGTTCTGCTATGACTTTTCAGAGAGTTGGGAGGGGAAAGGGTGATGGGGGCAGAAACCCTCCAGAATCCGTCTGATGAAATAAACAGTGCTTGGGCTGAAAACTCAGAGCTTTACTTTGGCAGCTGAGGCAGAGGCTGCATTATCTAATGTCCAGTGCTGTCCAAAACACACTGATGGGGAAATGTTTTCTTAGTGGCCTCTTGTTTTAAAAAATAATAATAACATGGGGCTGCCTGCCTTTGCACTGGATTTGTTTGTTCTGTGCAGGTTGCAGCGATATACATTGACTGGTTCTCTTTACTGTCTTGCAGTTTAAACTTCCAAAGGAGTACAGCTGGCCTGAAAAGAAACTGAAAGTTTCCATCTTGCCAGATGCCGTGTTCGACAACCCGCTGCATTAGAGCTGAATTACACCCTTCTAACAACTGGGAGAGCCAAGTTACTGTCCATTGCCCAGTGACTCACAGGATAATTAATGCAGTAAAAACTCTGCCTGCAAATAAAAGAGTTTGCTGCGCAACCACTGCGAACAGAAGAGGAGCTACTCAGCACCAGCCCAGACCGAACTGAGCCCTATCCTTTATCCTTCCCAAGGCTGAGCTCTCTGGGAACAGCCTGCGTATGTGTGAGTGCGAGTGAGAAATATTTAACTATGAAAATTAGTAGTAAGAATCCTTTTTCTCTCTCCTAGCTACAGAACTCCCCTCTGCCTTAGCTCAGGGTGTAGATGCTCTGCACGCCTGTATTTACACATGCGTTTCTGCCAGGTGCGAGCCTATAATCCATGGATTAAATGTTCTTTACGTGACTCTGGAGTCCTTTTGTTAGCCAAACTTTTACTGACTGCAGAACTGTTCTTCCATGTGCTATTTTTTTTTTCTTTTCAGAAACGGAATGGTATTTCCCCTGTTTAAAGGAGGCCAAAAGCTCACATGCTTGAAACTGAACAGATTTAAAGATGAACTTTCTAGTTCAGTCAAGAAAAACAAACCCAGATCCTCCCTGCCCTCAAATTAGGCATGTTTTAAGTGTTGGTCTTGGTGCTATTAGCTATGGTATCACTGCAAACAGAGGCAACTTTATTCTCACGCATCCTGTCCTTGTGCCTGAACCCCAGGGAAGGTCGCAACCCCTGGTTTTGCACAAGCAGGAGGAAGAAAGCTACCGGGGCGGGGGAGGTCTCCTGTTTACAGTGTGTTTATCTTTAAAGAGATACTGTCAAGTATTTTTTCCTTGCTATTGTACAGAATTTGAGAAGCTAGAAAGGAGCATTTGTTCACAGGGACAACTTCAGCAGCTCTGCAGGATCCAGAGGGCTGCTTGAAAGCATATGAAACAGAGATCTCCACTGCCCTGGCGCAGCAGAGAGGAGACAGCCTCAATAAAGCCAACTATTCTCCCTGTTCCAGCAGGGTTGTGCCCTAGCACAGCTCCATTTTCCCCTCTAGCCTCACTGTGATGGCTCTTCTTGTTACTGCCGATGTCCTTCCTTTCAGATAGATTTGAGCTGTAAAGCATCAAAATCAGCTTGAAAAGACCCTCCCTCTAGATCCCCATGGCTTCCTCCTTGGAGCAAAATGTGGTGTGCAGAGGAAACAGTCTCTGCAGGGTCAGGTTTTGTCTCTGCATCGAGATGCTGGCCCCTGTGGATATGCTGCAGCAAACCACTGCAGGCTTTACCCCCTGCTGCTGTTGCAGGTTGTTTCTGATGCATATTCCCCACCCTTCTTCTGCCCATTGTCTTTTGGTGACAACTCTTCACTCCTTGTCAGGGGAAGTGCAGCTTTCCTTCCACCCCTTTTTGCCTACAGGAGAACTTAGTGATTTACTCACAGTTCCTGTGTGATCTCAATATCAGTATAACAGAGTATAACAGAAGCTTTTAACACTCAAGTCCCCTGATCGAACAGCAAAGTCCAGGAGGCCTCACGGTACCCCAGGGTTGGTTTTCTGTTTGTTTCCTGATTTAATTTCTTCCTGGCACATTCAGCTCTGATGGTTTTTGCGTATATTTGGGGCTGGTTAACGTTGGTCAAGAAGCAGAGCTAGGAGCCGCAAAGCTTTCTTTGGACTTGCTACAGAATTCTGCTGTGGCCTCAGGCAAGTCACTCAATGTCTCTCTGTGCAGAGGGTGATTATTGACTAGAGGGCTGTAGGACCTACCGAAGCATGCCAGGGTTTGCAGGGGAGGGCGTGCTTTGTGTACAAAGTAGTATTTGTATTATTATAATTGTTGTTATATTATAATTTAAGACAGGCCAAATGCAGGGTCCAACACTGCTCGGCAGAACCTTCCTTTCTGCAAAGCTACGGAAGTAATTTACATGTAAATGAGTTTGTAATTTTGTCTGAACTCACAGGATCATCTTAGAATCCTGCTGCGAAAGAACAAACTTTCAGATATCTGCATGTGCCAGCCAGGGGGGGTTCTGTGCAGTGGCAGACTGCAGTCATCCGTGGGATCTCTTGGCCAGTTTTCATTGTCCTGGTTAGCACGAAGCATCCCTTCTGCACTGGAGATGTATATGCAGGGGACAGCGTGGGTGAGAAGATGGCATGAAGATGTACCAGTCCAGCTTCAGAAATGACATGCCTAAATGTCCCACCACCAGATAATGAACAAACAGATGATTGTGGCAATCAAGGGAAAAAGGCAAGGGCAGCAACTCCGATTCTGTCCCAGAGCCATCCACCAGCAGTAGCACATGGGCTGCTCTTGTACGATGCTTGCTAGGGGTGCCTGCAGCAGAGCTAGGCCATCGCCATGGTGCTTGCTGCTCTTCCTTGTTTCCAGATGCTGGCTCTCATTAAAAGGAGCTTAAAATCCACATCTTGGTGAAGAAGGGACATTTGGAAGGTCAATTGTTGCTGTTCCTGCAGAGATCAGCACGGGGCAGAGAGAAGTCCATCAGACCCTCTCTGGGCTCTGACACACATCTGGAAAGTTTAGGACTTCCTGCCCTATGAACTCCTTGAGCCTTCACAGTGGGGATGCAGTGCTTTACGCAGGGAATGCACCTCCTCCAGGCTGGCTTGTGCTCCAGTTCTGCCTTTCTTATGTGTATGTTTTCCTCGCATATTTACTCTCATGAGATGCGCTGGGTTGGGTTTTCATTGACTTCAGAGGGAGCATGCTGAATGCATTTGAAAATCCACCCAGTATCTTTGTGTGCGTGTGTGTATTTTTGTTCTATGTCATGTATTTATATATAGTTCTGTGTATTTGAGTTATGAACAGGTGGCATGACAGAAATCTCTATTTCTGAGACACTTTCTCACAGATCCTTGCTGGTAGCCAAATAACAATTGAGGGGAAAGTTTAAAGGCAAGGAAATGAAATCTTCCTATTTAGTTAAGGGGGGAAATATTAGACAAGTGCTAAAATAGAAATATCTGTCTCTTACAGTAGGTGTAACAATGAGAGAAAGCGGTGAAAGTCAGCCTTTAAGCTCCAAGGTTGTGTCACTGCCTCTCAACAGTTGTCTAAGAATAAGAAAGTTGCATGTTCCTCAGTATCATGAATTGCTGCGCACCCACAGGACCTCCCCTCCCCTGACTCACATCAGGTTTGCAACCATGCCAAAGGCTTACTCATTGGCAACTAAATGAGATCTCAAGCTTGGATATTTTCATCCTGGGACAAGAGGACGTGCCTGTGTGTGAAGGAAATGGAAAAGAAACCGTTGTATTTTAGTGAGCATTTTCCCTTCAAGAAGGGAAACGCATCAGTGTTAATAGCACCATGGTATTTGTCTAGCCCAAACCTGCTGAGATGGTAGGTCCCTGGTGCTGAGTTTTTCTAGATTGTGTGGAAGGTGTGAAGGAGGATTGTCTGAAAACAAAACCTGTGAGGCTTGTGTTGGCTAAAGATAACGTTCTGGATGGAAATAAACATGGTTCAGAAGCAGCGAGTACAGGTTCTCTCGCTCCTGGAGAAACCTGGTGATGCAGGTCAATAGGGATATTGCCAGAGATGAAGAGCCTCATGGCAGACCCGCAATGCCTTGAAAATCCAACATGTGACAGCAATTCTGAAATGAGAGAAGTCCCAAAAGCCAGGACTACTCTCCCTCTCGACTTGTGATTAAGAACAGAAGGAATGTATAGTTTCACTCCTGAAGTATGTGGGCTATGAACCGAGCAGAGCTTGTAGCTGGTGTGACCTACAGTGATATTTTCAGTGGCTCAGAGAGGTGGTGCCTGCTGTGTATCGTGTCTTTGAGGACGGTGATATATTGCTCTTACTGTACAGAGATTTGCCAACAGTGATTTGAAATTATATTCTGAAGCTCTTCAAATACTCAGTTACTCTTGGATGGCTTTTGAAATTACACCAAGTCATCAAGTGGTCTTTGAAGAAGTGGGGGTTTTGTTGTTTTTCATCTGTGACCAGCAGAAATATTTAGGGGGTGTAGCTCTTAAAAAGAAAACAGTTGAAAGAGATGCTTGCCTTGGAGGGGGCAGATTGCTGGGGAGAGGTTGCATGGTAGGGGAGCAACCTCCTCCTGCACCCACAGCTCAGACTCATTCAGGGCAGTGCAGCCCTTATGCATCTAAGGCACTGCAAGGGGAGCTAACATGGATGAAAGGAAGCCAGAAACCAAAGTGAGAGTCATCAGGGCCTCAGCACAGCATGGGGCCCTGCAGGCAAGTCCTCATTTCCATGCCAGGACCCACTGAGGTCCTGCACAGGCAGCCGGCACGCACATACCACTGCGTGTTCACGCTCTGGCGTGTACCCCTCACTGATGGCAGAGACTGCAAATGGCTGCATCTGAGGTAGAGTCAAAGATGGGGAGTGGCAACGTGGCTGCTGCTGTGGGCTCATTTGTTATTCTAATCAGTGTGGGGTGGAGAGCCGAGCTCCTGCTCCGCTGCCCCTCGTGAGAACCTCCAGGCTGGTCACCGAGTGAGCCTTATTGTTTGCCCGCCATCTCTTCCCTTCGGCACGTGTCCCCCAGCTCCCCACGGAATCCTTTCTCTGGTGCCTCACTGGAAGGTGCTTGGCTGGCTGTGTGCTTTGCAGGACGCTGGGTTAGATGACACCTGGGATCATGCCTGCTCGGCTGTTTGTCTGTCCTCCTTCCTCCTGGCTGGGCATCTGGAGCGCATGACCTGCTTTGCCAGCTTGTATCTGGCCAGTGCAAGGCAGCGTTGTGTCAGCTGGGGAGATCCACAGACCTTCAGGCCAGAGGAAACCCTTAGACCTCTGTGTCCAGTTTTCCTTGAACCCTGTGGCTCTGCTGTACCCAGTCCTGGGCGCCAGCCCAGGTGAGGAGGGCATCCGGCACCGTGAGGGCCCTTCCACTTCCCGGGGACTTGGTTCTCTACGTGACTGCCCTCCATTTAGAGTATATATTGTGCCTTAATTCTCCCCGTGAGTGAAGCTGCAAGGGCACATGAACTGTCGAGCAACCAGGAATCTCTTTCAGTGCATCTGTCCCTATCGATTAATGGCAGCCTGCACAGCAGCCAGACTGTATCCAAAACAATCTCAAAATGCGTGTTTGCCAGTGAGGTTCACCTCCAAAGGTTTTAAAGCTGGATTTAGGTCTCTTGGACCATGGCGGTTTTAATGAGCTCTGTTGCAACCTCCTATTTTGATAATGTTTTTTCTGTTGTGCAGTTCTCTTTTCAAAAGAAAACCCTCGTGTTTGACGTTAGTCCAGAATTTCTAATGGAGAATAAGCCTGAGGTTGCAAATGTGTTTAGAACCCAGCCTTGCATCAACCTGTCTCTTTCAGGCAGTGAACCTGTCGTGTATCGTGCGTCACCACCTCTTCATTTCTACCATGGTTCTGTTTCCCCTAAAGCCGCTGACAGACCATAAAATCATCATAAGCGGCACATCAGTTCAGAAACATGATTTCTAGTCTGCCGTGGAGGTGGTCCCTTCCCTTTCTCTCGCTGAAAGACCACGGCATCGCTAACCGTTTGCCTCACAGGGCCCCGGGAGCAGGAGAAGAACATCAGCCCAGGAAGGGCTGCACGTGGCTGGGGCCAGCACTTGGTTGTTTTTAACTGTCCTGACGCTGCCTCTTCCCTTCTTTAAAAAGAGGAACAGAGAGGGGAAAAAAGCCCCAAACCTCAAAAACCTGGGGGGAAACTTCCTGCCGGCTGTTGTGCTTTGCACACACTGGCCTTTTCTCTCACCCTCTCCCTCCGCTCCCGGCGAGGCTGGAGATGAAAATGGCTCCTTTGTTCCTTTCCCTGGGGCCCAACTGCAGCGAAAGTGCGGCTCCGGAAACCCTCTGCTGTGTGAGCGGCGAGGGTGGGAGGGACCGAGCTGTCACCGTGTGTGGTAGGTCCTACATAAACACGGCATGTGTTGACAATGCCGCGGGCAGGATGGGTGCAGGAGGACTTTGTGGTGCTGGCGACAAAGCTCTTGCGCTGTGTGGCAGCAAGCAGGCAGCGAGGCCTATGGGGGGCAGAGGAAGGGGTGTGAGTGGCTGTGTCCTCCTGGCAGTGACTGGTCATGGGCTGGGGGCTCCAGGCCCTTCTGATCTCTGCTTTTGGCTATTCCCTTGTGGAAGCAGACAGCATCCTGCTGTGGGCTTGCACCAATGCTTTGGACCCCACACCAAGATGCTCCTTGCACCCATCCAGCCCTGGAGTCCTGGTGCTCCCAGTCTGGACGTGGTCATACCCCAAAACCCAAGTTTAGTCATTGAAAACGCTTCTCTCATCCAGCCTGGGGTGGGCACACCAGATTTTCCCTGTCTTTAAAGGGCTGGAGGTTTGGCTGTGCACTGGGGACACTGTTTTGCATAACCTAGAGCAAGGGCAAGCTTCCCAGGGTGAAGGACATGTGGATGACCGGGACCACAGCAAACCCTGACTGCTGGTGCTGGCCTCGCAGCCCAGAGATGACCCTTTCTGTAGTTCAGCGTGTGCCTGTGTGCGTGTGTGTGTGTGTGCTTGGTCTGCGTGCACAGGGCTGGGTGGAGCGAGGAGCCCAAGGATGCTACCGATGGGGCTGGAAGGAGCCCGCGTGTCTGCAGGCGGTGTGTCAGTACCTTGTAGATGGCCTTTCTTCCCCTGCCCCTTCCTTTTTTTTTATAAAAGACAAAGGAAAAAAAAACAGAAAAGCTAAACTAGCAGAGGTTTTTAAATATTTTATATTAGTTTCTAATGTAAATTCCTACCTTGTCATTGCAGTGCTGGGGGGGGGGGGGGGGGGGGGGGGGGGGGTTCGCCTGCACGTGACCTTTTGTAATATTTTTGTGACTCACTAAACGTTTCTGTTTCCCTCCCGTGTATTCGAAGTGCATTAAAGGTATTTGCAGAACTGCCGGTGTCCTTCTCTGCGGGCGAACCGGCGGGACCCCCCCTCCTCTGATCAGCACCTTCTCATTGATGACTTCTCCCCACCAACCCCTGGGGAGCGGGGTCTTAGCTGCAGAGGGAGGGATCTTCCTATTCTCGTGCATGGTCCTGCCCAGGTAGGATCCTCCATGGCAAAACCCCCTGGAGCAGCCTGAATGCCGTTGGGATGGGGAATGCTTGCACACGGGTCCGAGGACATGGCCGGTTGGCTGAGGGATGACAACCTCGTCCACTGGCGTGGGAAGGAGGGAGCTGGGGTGAGTGCTGGGTCAGATCCCTGCTCCCATCTTCTGCCAAGTGCCTCTTGGCTCCGGCGGGACCCAGGGGTGTGGATGTGTGGATGTGCGCTCTGGGTATGCCGGGGAAGAGACGCAGGGAACGCTGATGGAAACAGGACTGAGCTAATGTTGCGCTGATTCCCCAGTAACGCAGAGCGATTCTGCAGTGATCTTTTTACACTCCTCGGTAATAAATTCCTTTCAGGTCAGAGAGGAGAGAGGGTGGGATATCGGGGACGGGGAAGGGAGGTGGCTGCGTGCAGAGGAAGAGTGACAAGGAAGGAAAGGGTGCATGGGGAGCTAAATCCAGCTTTGGGCAGGTTTTGTGCCTGCTCTCTGGGGTGTTGTCTCAGCACTCCCTGCATCGCACGGGGAGCAGTCAGCAGAAGGGCTCCTGTGTGAGTTTGTTTTCTTTTGAGGTTTGGGGTGAAAAACATCCTTTCCCAAAGAACCTCTCCCACAGCTGCATCCAGACATGAACAGCCCCAAGGCAAAGCAGCAGCGTCTCCGGGAGCCAATGGTGCAGAGCAGCCAGTGCTGGACATGCCGAAGGGAACATGGCCATAGCTTGGTCCTGTTCATCGTCTCACTTGAGGAAACTTTGCTGGTCAGCTGGGGTCACAGTGAGGTTCTTCTTCCAGGCAAGATTTGGGATGTGTGAGGCTCCCTACAGCTGGTCCCCTGGTCTGAGACACCCACCCCCCGCATGCCACTCACCTTCCCAGACATCCAAGTGTTTGCAAGCACAGGGCTACCCTACTGAGGCATCGCAGCAAGGATGGTGGAGCTGAGAACCCTCCCCGCTGGCCACTTGCTTAATTTAATTAATGACCCAAATAATGCAAGGGCAGCTGTCCCCTTGCATTGGCACATCCCAGCCGATCCCTCTGTCCAGCCCCACAGAGGCTAAGGGGGATCCAAGGGGACAGGGTGTCCCTGGGACTGCGGCTCAGTGGGGTGCCGCTCTCCCACCACCACCCTTCACCCCAAGCCCTACCACCAGCCCAGGCAGCGGCGGTTGAGGCTCTGCCTCCGCCGGCTGAGAGCACCTTGGGCAGTGTATTTAATTAAGGTTCCTGAGGAGCAGTGCCTGGGAGCCCCTCCTGGCTCTGCAGCTCTGAACTTCATTAGGAGCGGTTTGTTACTAATAACGCCAGCAGCTCCTTCAATTAATAATGGAAAGGCTGCGAGCAGATGCCAAGCCAGGAGAGGGAAGGGATTTGTTTATTTCTCTCCTCTTCTTGGTTGGGTTTTTTCTTGTTGTTTGAGTGCAGAGGGAGGGCTGGGGCTCGCTTCCCATCTAAAAAGTGAAGGGCAGTGCCCAGGAACCTCAGTGGGGAAGAGAGTGAACCTGAGGGGCAAAAGGGATGGGGTGGGATGAGAGGGCAGCTGCCATGGGAAGGGGTTCCTGCTGTGCTCCCTGCCCACCCAGGGCACTTGGGTCGTGCTGGACTTGGGTAACCAGGGATGGTCCTGACCTGGGAGACCTGGCCATAGCATCACCCCAGCCCATGTCAGGATGGTGCAAACATGGGAGGGAGGAGTTCTCCATGCTTTAGTCCACTTGGACCACAAGGAAATACAGGCTGACAGGGGATCAGCACACCAAGTCACTTTGGATCGTTCTTTTCCCCCTCTTTTTGCCTTGTTTCTTTGCTGCTTGCTGTTTCACCTGCCTGGTAGTACCTCAGTGCAGAGGAAAGGCTCCCAGCACATGCCGGTGTGCAGGACCTGACACATTAACACCATGAGCTCTTGGGGACCCTGTGGCCAAGCTGCATTCAGAGAGGGGCCTGAAGCAGCTGGGCTGTGTCGGGTTCTGCTGCCTCCACCCCATGCAGGACAAACCCCCCCCAGCCCCACAGCAGAGCCTTGGGGACAACAGGGGCTGGGCAAGCATCCTCACCCTGCTGCAAGTCAGAGCCTCACCATCCAGCGAAGGAAACCAGGACCTGGCAGCAGTGGGAGAAACACTGCAGGGAAGCCCCAGCTCTCTGCTAGAAGCCCACAGTGTGCCCAAAAGCTCTGGCTTCTCCAGATAGCTTTCAGAGCAACTGCTCCTGCTGTCAGGCAGTTTGCATTGGAGAAGAAGAATGGCCTTACCTTGCCCCAGCACCTCATCGCTCACACTAATTGAAGCAGCCCATGAGACAGGCCATGGCAGCACGACCTCAGCACAGGCTCCGTCCCCTCGGTCCCCCACTGCTTACCTGCTGCAGGGATGCGCTGGCTGCGGGTGCGTTTCAGGCAGCAGCTTTCCAACAGAGCGAGCTTCAGGTCTGAGTTTGTTTTTCCCAGGGGAAAAGTATTTTTAATGCCTTTCCCATCATTCACTTTTCCTCAGACTTTCCACACTCTGGCCACAAATAACCTGATGGAGGGCAGCGAGCGAGGCTGGAAATGCTCCTGCGCAGGAGATGGGGTACCTGCTCCAGAAGGGCTGGGGAGCAGGGAGCAAAGGGAAGATGTCCATGGTCAATTCGACTGGGGAGATCCCGTTTCCTGCCTGGGCTGGGATCATCCCCATCTGCCTAATGCATAAAGCCCTTTTCCAGCTGTTAAAAACACTGGAGGAAACGTGGAGCTGCAGCACCTCGTGCTCCCCGCTTGCTTTTTTGGGCAGGAAAATGATCCAAAGCATCCGGCAAAGAGGGAGAATAAAGGCAAAAAGGGCTCGGGAATGGGGGGATGGCTGGGATGTGTGGTGGGGAACGTCTCCAGGGATGTGGGGCGGGTGGCAGCGTGCCCAGCCCCAGCACAGGCAGCCCAACAATAACGCGAGGCATCAGGAGCACACTCAGCGGTGGGAATCCCAGTCCTTGCCTTAAAAGGAGATTTCAGGGATGCTGTTATTGGAAAATTGTTTTCTGATTATTCAGCTTATTGAGAGCCTGTTTCATTATTTGCAGTGTGACACGAGGGGGGCTGTGGCTGCACATGAACAGCGACGACCAAGGGTGTTTCCATGGATTTCCAGGCCAGGAGAGTCCATTAAATCATCCCGTTTGACCTCCCATGTTCACAGGCCAATTCACCCAATTCCTCTCACATTGAGCCCAATAACTTGTGCTTCTGAATCAAGCAGGAGGACCAGGACTAAGTCCTATCTCAGCTGAATGACTTCAAGAGAAGAAGAATTGGCCATTGACTTCCCTTGGCTCTCTGTCCTGATGACAAGAAACCCATGACAGCAGCATTCTGCTGTTGACCTATTTCTAATGCTGCTGCATCCCGCTTGCTTTGACCCTCTTTTGGGCAAAGGGGATGCCCACATGGCCCCTCAGCCGGTGCCTCCCGTGCATGTGTGCTGAGCCACATGGTTTAATGCAGACAAACAGTGGGATCCCTCTTGATCTGCTGTCAGTGAGCAGCTCAAGAGTTAATAAACTTCGAACAGATGTGACCAACATGTCAAGACACGAGAAGTACGTGGTATGGATGTTTATAAGTACATCGACAGAAGGCATTCATAAAAGGTTATAAACCATGGTAATAAGCAACCCATCAACTTGTTTGGACTCTAACACTTGATTAACCATTTATTAAAAGGTGCAGTAATCATTTATAAGCCATAAGTGGGACCAAACGTAAAGTACGACTCTTTTCATGTTAATAGATGCCTCAAGAATTTCCTCTCCCTCCGTGCCGTGGGTTGGGTGGTTAAAGGCTAACCCAGGCTGCCGGGAGCCCCGGCCCCTCCTCTGTGGCATGCACGGGCTGGATTCATACTGGGAGCCTCCCACTCTCCCAGCGCCATGGAGCAGGATGGGTGCCCCCACCCCAGGTTTGGCAGTGCCTTGGGGTTGTGCTTGTGAGGAGCCATGGGTTTATTTTGGGCTCTGGGTGACCTCCAGCAGTGTTTGAGCATCTCACTGGAGACCCCAGGAGGGACCAGCCCAGTGGGTTTGGGGCATGGAGAGACAGGCAGAGGGGTCTGCTGCTGTGCAGGGGTAGCACAAGGTGGTGGGCACTGAGGGGAGCATGGGGAGAGGCTCTTCTCCCAGGCACAGCCCAGCACCAGCCCTGCCACCCATGGGTCCCGTTGGACCCCAAGGAAGGGCTCTATGTGGACAGTGGCCATCAAGTGCTGAGCTGAGCAGGGTGGATCACGGACCACGGATTTCAGCCACCTGCCTCAAGTCCCTGGTGCCCTGGGGAATGAAGCAGAGTACAGGGAGAGAGATGGGAACTGTCTTCCTGCATCCCCCTGCATGGAGTCAATCCAAGCCCCAGGCAGCCAACGTACCAAGATGGGACGGAAATGCCTCCGACGCAAAGGCAGCTTCATCCTTCTGTCAGCAGGATCCTCCTTCTTTATTTGCCATCACTACTCTTACCCCAGACAGACCATGTTTTCCTTCCTGGTCTCTTAAACCCATAATTGCTCCCATTACACAACCAGGAGTGACAGTTTGTTAGCAAAGCTTCCTGACCTAATTTACACTGATACCCTTGTGCTCTTTCCTTCGCTGTGGGCAAACAGACCTTGAGGAAGGGAAGGAGAGCCCTGGTAGCGGTGTGTGCATGGGCTGCAGCTCTGGGCTCCCTGCCCCTGCCCTGTCTCAGTTTACCCCGGCTGCACCAAGCTCAGGAGCGACACTTGGGCTCAGGGATTGGCCTTTAGGGGTTTCAGGGGGGACAGCAGCAGCGGATGCACTCCCCTTCAAAGGAAAGCTCAGTAGCTCCCTGGCGGGGGGTGTTTCAGCATGCCGGGGGCCAGGTCATTTGGCTGCAGCTGCCTTTAATTGCAGAAAAGGAAGAGGAAAGATGAGAAATTGCTCTGGAGTGAAGATTTCAACGGTCACACCTTGGCCAGGGCAGGGACTGCAGAGACCTTCTGGTGGGATAGTGGCTGAACCGAGCTGCAGATGGGAATGGAAGTGGTGGGATCGTATCCTGCTCGCACCCTCAGCCTCCCAGGACTGGAGCTGGGGCTGGCAGCTTCATGTGCCCAAGCTGGGCTGGCTCCATCTTTCCCCCAAGAAGGTGCCCAGCTACAGTGGGGGATGCTGTACCAGAGCTGCGTGCGCCAGGGAAAAGGCTGGTGCAGAGGGAGAGAAGGGCCACCAGTAGCCACAGGCTTGGGGCAAAGGGCTGCTGCTTCCTGCCCTGCCTGGCCTTGTAACGGGTGCATGCGTGCAGCCTGGCGCTGGGGGGACAGAGGGGCAGCAGAGCCAGATCCCTGGGGCAGGAGGGCTCGCAGGGCCGCCGGGGGCTGTGAATCCTGCCCTCGCAGCTACAGCACAAACCAGGCGGGAAATGCCTCGCAGTGACTCGTCTTCCTGCGGCACGGCCTGGGCTCAGGGCAGCGCAAGCCTGGAGGGGACCGTGGGAGCTGCGGCAGGGATTTGCTCCCAGCATCACCTTCCGCTGCCCCAGCCCACGGTGGGGGACCCACGCTGGGTGCTGCCAGCGTTTGCCGGTGTCCCTTCCCGACCCTGCGCAGTTACTGTTTAACCCATCCAGGACCTCTCTCAGGGTGTGGAGCCTGCCCCGGAGCACGGCCGAGGAGTACGAAACGCTGGGTGAACCCCAGTGCTGGCTCTCCCTCGGATTCTCGCACCATCCGTCCCCAGTGAAGACTGCCCGCTGGCAGCCCGGCTCTGGCAGCACCAATTCGACTGCCAGCAGAGGGTAAAATGAGACTGAGCTGCACTTACTAATCCCCTTGGCCACCCAGCAAACTTGTGCAGTGTTTCTGCTGGGTCCCGGCCCATCCTGGGGGAAGCAGCAGCCCCACAGGGGGAAAAGCAACCCCAGTCTGGACCCAGATTCCTTTGTACTCAAAAAACAAAAACAGAAAATTGTGCTGGCTTTTTTTCCTGTTTGGTTGGGTTTTTATGGACATATATATATATACATGGAGGTTTTGTGGCTTTGACGCAGTTTCCTGAAAATCCTGCTTCATCCTGCCAGGGGCTGAGCAAATGCACATCCCAGCCCTCGGCGGTGGGGGAGAGAAGGAGGAGGAGAAGCCAGGGAGGGAGAGAAGAAAGCCTTTGCCAAACTGGCCTGACCAGAATGTGACACAAGAGCAGGAAATGAGTCACGCCAGCAGGGCAGCTGCTCCCAGATATTTGCATAGAAAGAAACCCCATCAGGCAGGGAACTGCTCTTGCCCAGTCCCGAATCCTCATGCTCCAGCCTCACAGCCAATGAACCCACTGACATGTTCTGTGGCACCCCGAGGCCAGCCAAGGCAGGGAGCCCCTGAGCATCACCCCTGCCCCATGGCTGGCTGTGCAGACCTGGATTTGGCCATTCAACCTTAGATTGGGCTGATCCAACCTGGATACGCCCTGAACCAAAGCGGATCTCCCCTCCATCAGCCCCCATGCAGTTCCCCTTGGACAGACCTCAGTATCTCCTTTGCCCTGTGCTTTAGGCTGGGGGAGGAAGCCCAGCATTTTTGCCCTGAGAGGAGCCCCAGTTATGCATTCATTGCACAAGGGCAAAGCTCTCCCAAGGAGCCAACAAGGCCATCGGCATCCCTGCACCCAGTACACCAACCCAGCCCTGTTCCCAGCTGTCAGTGTTGGATGTGGGAGTCACTAGATCCCAACGCTTGGGTGCTCGGGGCAGAGAACTTGCTTTGCGTGCTGTGGGGACCAGGCTGCACACCCAGCTCCCAGTCCTTTCTTATTAATCATAGAGGATGGAGGTTTCCTCTGCATATAGACTGTGAATGCATGTGTGCATCTTCCCTCAGCAGGGACCAGGCTGTGAGGATACCAGAGCAGGCACTGACAGTGTGGGATGGATGCTGCAGCAGGGATGGGTGCAGGATGGCTACGCACAAAGCAGTGCATGCTGGTTGTGTGCCCTCAGCTGTGTCCTGGGGTCCTCAGCTGAGCCATGGCCCCCCCTGTTTTGTGCCTCCTCCGTGGGGCTGTTTCCCTCCTTCTCCAAGCCAGCCAGGAGCGAGGGACGGCCACAGAGAGATTTAGTGCTGCAAACCAAGCTACTGCCACCCTGCAAGTTCCTTAAATCCTTAAACCCAGTCTTAAAACCAGCGAAAGCCTTCAATGCCTTAATCACATGGAGCAGGGTGGAGGAAGCTTTCTCCATTGCACTTAGCCACCTCACAGGGCTTACATGGAAGCAGGACAGAAGGGCAGTGATGGCTTCTCTCTGGCTGGTTAATTGAGTTATAAACAACCCAAGAAGCACATAATCTGGTATTACTTCTGGAGGGTTCAAGACTTCTGGGAAGGCACAGAGCTGGGTGACAGAGCATCCCCCAGGAGCATCCCAGTGATGGGGTGGTGGCAGGCAGGGAAGCTGTCACTTTAACACCAAACCAGTCTGTGGCTTTGGGGGGGGTTGAGGGATGCGCACCAGGACTCTCCAAGGTAAAAAACATCTCTGCAGCCCCTTGGCATCGGCTGGAGCACCCACACGGGACTGGATCCTGGTGGAGGGATCCAGAGTGGTGAGGAGCACAAAGTGCTGCAGGCTTTCTGCAGCTCACTCCTGCTGGTGTCCGTCATTCACACAGCACTGGTAGGGTGTCTGGGAGCTGAGTGAGTACAGGGGACCCTGCCTACAGTCCCCTCTGGGCAGCTCCTACCGCCTGCAGAAGGGTTGTGATGCCCAGCCTGGCTTTGGGGCTTCCCTTGCTGAGGGGGTATCTCCCGGCTGGGCAGAGCAATGGCATTGTACAGATGTGGGTGAGATGACAGCAGGGCCAGTGCCAGTCCCAGGGCAGCAGGATTCCCAGCTGAGAACAGGACGCATCTTTCAGCTTGGCCCAGCCCCAACCCATCCATCTTCCACCTCTAAATCCTGCTAAATACCAGCCGGATTCCTCAGCTCATCTGCAGCAGAGGGCATGGGGGTGTCCCAGGCAGCCCCTTCGGAAGAGCTGTGCCCTGCCTGTGGTGGGGATGGTGGCTGTCACCAGGGGCTGCCCGGTGCTGCCTGTGGTTGTAAAGAAGAGAGAGTCACAAATAGTTTTGCACTGACTTTCTGAGGAGAGGTTCGTCTCTGTGTGGGCTCAGCAGCCAACAGCATCTCTGACACATCCCCTTTGCAGTGCTTGAGCCCCAGGAGCCCTGGGCTGGATGTGCGGGGATTAAGGGTGATACAGGGTGAGCCCCAGTCCTGGGGGGGTACCCATCACTCCATCTCCTTAACTCTTTGGCAAGACCTGCCGGTGGGCAGGGCGTTCCTGTAAAGGTAAGTGTGGCAACAACTTGTGTGTGCTGTCGGGTGCTCATCCCTCTCAGGCAGCCAGCTGCCCTGGCTGGCCCATGGCACCAGGGCTATAGGGTGCTATAGGAGATACTACTGGGTGGTGCCTCTGGACAGTTTGGTCCATGGCTGCTGTTGAGGAATTCCTGCTAAATCCCTCCCATAGGCAAATTGCCATCAGTGACCATCACCCAGGAGCAAGGTTGGAAACGGATCCTGAAGCCACCATCTGAGCCTTTGCCTCCTTGTCACTCCACCATAAACCTGATAGTGCACTCTGAGCATTTTTTGGTCTAAATATTCTATTTGGAAGCCATTTGTGACCCCCTTGCCAGTGGAAAATGAATTTACACCAGCAGTGTGCTTGATTCCCAGTGGTCTGGCACATTTGGCAGGGGTTGGATATACAGCATCCTTTGAAACAGCTACGGGAACATTTGGTGGGAGAGCTGTTAACAGACACACCTCTATGCCCTGGATTCCGGCAAGAGGTGCTGGGGCTGCCCGCTTGGGAAAGATCCCATGGGACAAAGGACGGTTGCTCTGCAGGGGGATGAAACAAACCTGAAATGCTCCTATGCAATGTAACAGCCCATTCAGGTGGGAGTGAAGAGGGGGTAGGAGGCTCCAGAGGGCAATTCTGGTACCAAGGCCAGCTGTGGCCCAGGTGTGAGCTGGTTTCAGCGTGATCAAACCCTTTTTACGGACCAGCACCTCGGATAAGTGTGGCTCCTGGCCATGCAGGGATGCTGGCGGCCAGGTAGGGTGGCCCTACCTCTGATGCAGCGACCAGCAGGGACCCCCCAGCCGGGCATGGAACTAGCTGGGGGTTGGAACTCGACACCCTTACGGTGCTTACCAACCCTGACCGTTCTATGAACCCCTGACACGCCTGGGCTCCCCGGGCCTACGCTGCAGCAGCCACGGCAGCGCCGAGCACCGCGGTGGGACCCCTCTCCTCCGTGTCCCCTTTAAGGCGGCGCGGTCTCGGGGCGGGGCGGTCCCCGGTGACGCGAGGTGGGCGGGCCCCCGAGGGGGCGGGGCCGGTATCTCTGCAGCGATCGCGGCGCAGCTCCGCGGCAGCGCCCGCAGGGACCCGCGGGCTCCGGCTCCGGCTGCGGCTCCGGTTCCGCTCCCTCCACCTGGGCCGGGTCCCGAGCGGGGCGGGGCGCACCCGCCTCCCCCTCCCTCCTTCCCCACGGTCGATATCTCCCCGCGGCCGCCGCCCCCATGGCCGCCCCCCGCCGCCGGCGGGGCTGAGCCCGGCTGTCTCCGAGGCACCGCCCCCCTTCCCCCTCCCTCCCTCCCCGAGGAGATCCGCTGCGGGGATCCGCGTTCCCCCCTCCCCTTCCCCGCTTCCCCTCGTCCGTCCCCCTCCCGCCCCGGGCCGCGGCCGCCTCCCCGGGGGCGGCGGGAGGAAGGCCGGGGCGTGGGGCTCCGGCGGGCGGGCGGCGCCCAGGGCGACCCCAAGATGGCTGGAGGCGGCGGCGGCGGGCGCGGGGGGCTCTGCTGAGCGGCCCCGGCGGGACGGGACAGCTCGGCTCGGGCTCGGGCTCGGCTGGCCCCGCAGCCCCTCCGCAGAGCCCCGCCGCAGCGGGAGCGGGTTTGTGCCGGTGACTTCTATTTAATTATTTTTTTTTAATACCTTTTTTTATTATTATTTTTAATTTTTTATTATTTTATTTTTAACGCGTCTCCGGTCTCCGCTCAAAATGGCTGAGAGCTGACTCGGCTTTCCCGGAACCATACGCTTCGGCCGGCTCCTTCTGGCTGCCCGCCGCCTCGCCCCTTCCCTTCCCGGCGGGGCCGGACCGGGGAAGGCTCCCGGACAGCGTCCCCTCTGCTCCGCTGCATTGTTACCTTCCCCCGGCCGGCCATGAGACCGGACTAGGTCGGTGTGTGTCGTGTCCTTCCCCCCGTGCCGGACGCCTGTTCCCCCCTTCCCAGCTCCGCGGGAAGCCGGAGCAGGTTGATCGGGGGCCGTGGGGTTTCGCTCCCCTTTGGCAAAGCCCATCCTGTGCTATCCCTGCGGGGCGCTGGACGAGGCTGCGCGGCGCTGGGGTTTGCTCTGAATGACCGAGCTCTCCCATTCAAGACCTCGCAGTCTCGAAGCAGGCGAGAGGTTGGCTTTTTTCCTTCCCCTTTCCCCCCCCCCCGTCTTGTCTGTTCCCCCCCACCCCCTTCCTTTTTTCCTCTGCTGCTCCACCGGGTGAGGAGCAAATCTCAGGGGCTGCAGAGAGAATTCGTTATTTTCGCCATCGTCATCATCGCTATTATTGTTATTTTTTTTAACCTTCCTCCTCTTCCCATTTTGGATCTTAACCCTTTGATCCGTTTCCTTTAAAAGACTCCGATTCCCAACTCCCATCGGGGGAGAGGGAGGAGAAATACTGGGGATTAAAAAAAAAGAGACCCTGAGCGAGCGAGCGAGTCCGCGCTCTCAGCTGTTAGCCAGGTTGGTGGGGGACAGAAGTCCCTTTAAAATATTGAATGTCAGTTCCTAAACCTAAGAAAAGAAAAATCTGATCCGGAGTGCTAAATTTAGGAGCTTTATATGGAACTTGGATTCTGCTGCTGGATTTTGTATGGATTTTTTTCAACCTTTGGTAAGTTTCAATTCACCTTCTTGCCTAAAAAAGAAACAAATGGCTTTTAGGGGTGGGTTAAGGCTTGGGGCTGTAAATCCCACGCTATCACGTTGGGGGTTTTTAACCGTTTGTGTCGCTTGGTTTAATGAAGCGGCGGCGGGGATGTCGCGTTTCCCTGCTGGAGATTCCTAGAGTGCTGCTCGGTGGGTTTATTTATCCCCAGTTTTAGAGATCCCTGTGGTTTATCATCTACGGTGTGCTGCGGGGCGGGGGGAGCCCGGCCGTTCACCCCCAGGCTTCCCCTTGCAGGGAGGACAGACCCCGGCGTCCGCCCCTAGACCGCACTGAGCAACCGAAGCGGGTTGGGGGGGAGAGAACGTCGCCAGAGGCTGCCGGCAGAGATGGCCGAGAATTGGAAGAACTGCTTCGAAGAGGAGCTCATCTGCCCCATCTGCCTGCACGTCTTCGTGGAGCCGGTCCAGCTGCCCTGCAAGCATAACTTCTGCCGGGGCTGCATCGGGGAGGCGTGGGCCAAGGAGTCGGGCTTGGTGCGGTGCCCGGAGTGCAACCAGGCTTACAACCAGAAGCCCAACCTGGAGAAGAACCTGAAGCTCACCAACATCGTGGAGAAGTTCAACTCCCTCAACCTGGAGAAGCCCCCCTCGGTCTTGCACTGCGTCTTCTGCCGCCGGGGCCCGCCGCTGCCAGCCCAGAAGATCTGTTTGAGGTGCGAGGCTCCGTGTTGCCAGTCCCACGTCCAGACCCACCTGCAGCAGCCCTCCACGGCTCGGGGCCATCTCCTGGTGGAGGCGGACGACGTGCGGGCCTGGAGCTGCCCCCAGCACAACGCCTACCGCCTGTACCACTGCGAGGCCGAGCAGGTGGCCGTCTGCCAGTTCTGCTGCTACTACAGCGGGGCCCACCAGGGACACTCGGTCTGCGACGTGGAGATCCGCCGCAATGAGATCAGGGTGAGTCCGACCTGCGTGGACACGGGGGTTTGTCCGGACCCGGGGGGCACCCCTCACCTCTCGCCCTTGTTGCCCTTTCCCCTGTTCCCCAGAGGCCTGTGTTTGTGTAGGACCTGCACAAAACCACCCCGTTGCTGTTCCTCCTCCGCCCGGTCCCCCCGTGGCGGACATGTTAGGTGGCCTCCGCAGCCCAGCAGTGACAGAGCCCGTGGGTGCCGGGGGGCTCTCTGAGGAAGAGCATCTCCGCTGGGAGGTCTTTGGAACCCTTCAGCCATAGGACCTCAGGCCGCTTTGGTCTGGGCTGTGAGGGGAAGGGTCGAGGCTGTGGGCCAGGGGGATTTGGAGCGGTCATCTCCCCAGTTCCTGCTGGGCAATGCAGCCACTGTGGGGAAGGCTGAGGAGCTGCCCACATCTGAGGTCCAGTCACCCCTAAACTGGACTCCGTGGGGGGACAAAGCAGCTGCAGACGCAGACCCCATCCATTGTAAGGCCTGTGAATGTCAAACTGCTGGCTCTTCCCACCGCCATCCCCTTCCCCCCGGCGATGAGTGGCTTCATGTCAGAGACCCCCGGCTTCTTGCTGGCCGGGATTTGGTTGTTTTGGCCAAATAATAGGGTTGTTTTAGGGGCCACAGGGCTGACCCCCCCCCCCTTCCTAAAGCAGCACAGGGCGTAACGCTGGATTCGAGGGAAAGCAAACGTATTTTGCTGGTGGCCAGGCCATCTGGCAGGAGCTTTCACCCTTGGTTCCCCACCCCATGCCGTGGTGGGCATTTAACAGCCTTGCCATGACCCGACCACAGCCTTCCCCCCTCCCAGGGCTGCCCCTCCACTCTCCTTCCGACCCTTCGAAAGAGGCCCAGCGCTTGTCCACCGAATAAATATTTAACAATGAATTGAATGGTGATTACTGTAAAATGGGGATGATTTCCTGTGTATTTTAATGTTGCCAAAATGAGTCACCATTTAGCAATAAAAAAAAACCCAAGAAGTCATAAATAAAAATTGCAGTATAATTACTTTCCAATTGGATGGCCAGGCCTGGGCTGGGCTGGGGGGGGCAGCTCTGTGCAGACAGGAGCCAGCCTGAGCTCACAGGAAGGTTATTTTCCTCTCCAGGTTTTTTTGGGGAAAACCAGAGGGCTCCGCAGAGGTGCCAGCGGCTCCGCCACACGCGCTCCGAGGGGAAAGACCCAGCCTGGCTTTTGGAGCAGTGCTTTTTTGCTTCTATTTATAGGGAAGCATTTTGCTCTCCCTCTGCCAGGGTGGGGAGCCACCCCGGGAGGGCCGCGCAGGGCTGGGACAGGCCTCGCATGTGCATTTCCCGGGAGCCTTAGCCAGGGACCAGAACTATTTTTCCAGGTCCTTTTCCAGGACACTTTGATCTCATCTGTTCCCGCTCTCGCTGCGTGGGGTTTTTTTTGTTGTCGCTGCCGTTGTTATGGCTGGCTGTTCGCTGCTGCTTGCGGATGCAACGCTGCTAATGACCTGGCAGAAAACTGCCACAGGCTGAGGCTGGGTTTTGGCCATGGCTTGAAATGTTAGGGTATGTGGCCAGGCACCTAAAGCATCAGGCGGCTGTATCGTAGGGCTGCAGAATTATTTGGTGACCTTGGCCAAATCCCTCGGTACCTCCATCGCGGCGTTATCTTAATTTCCTTTCTCTGCGGTGATAAGCTCGTCTCTTCCCTCTGGCTACGTGGCTTGGTTGGGTGCCGGAGCAATGGAGGACAGTGCAAAGCAGGGGACAGCATGAGGATTCCCCCCCAGTAGTTGAAGCAGTTTGTCTGTGGAGAGATTGGAGTAGGGAAGAGCCCACAGGAAAATGCCTGGCAGGTTGCTGAGGGCTCCCTGTGTGGCCTTGGCCAGGTCTCTGGTTGAAACCTGCCCCATGCCAGCCGGTGGCTGTGCTGGTTCCTGAATTAGGGTGCGTGTGCTCAGCCGGTGACGGCTTCCCGCCTGTGGGAGCCGGGCCCAGGATTCCTGGCTGCTTGCTCACCCCGCAGCAGTGAGCCGCTCTTGGAGCATCCCAGGAAAGGACAGCAGGGACTAGGGGGTGGATGAGTAACGCTGGGCTCCGGAGGTCTGGGGGCGGCCCCGTTGTGAGAGGTTTGTTCCGTGCATGGGTCGCGTTCAGGAAGCTGTTAATTGAGAAATGAGTCAAAGTTTGGAGGCTCAGGGCCCTGCCCTTGGCGCAGGGGACTTGTGAGTGTGGGGGTGACATGACCTAGTGTGGTTGGGGTGGCCCCGTAGCCCAGAGAAAGGGCAGGAGCCTGCAGACACGCTCCCCATAATCTCACCTTCTGCTGGCCCACCTTAAAGGACATCTTGCCCAGGTTACAGTCCGATTTGAAGGGGAAAAGGTGCTCAACAGTCCTTGGGGACGGCACCAGTGCTTTCTCAGCTGTAAGCTGGCAGTTAGGGCAAGAGAGCTTGTGCTGGGCAAAAGGAGCCAGAGGTGTGTGTCTGCAGGAGGTAGGAGGGTGTCTGCGGAGGGCTGGCTGGAAGTGGAGGTGTGCGCTTGGTAGGTTTGGGGGCCGCTCGGCATTAGGTGCTGCACAAACCCGCAGAGCCCTGGCTCAGAATTGGTTGAACTCCACAGTGCAACTGTAATGCAAACAGTAAATAAAATGTGGTTAATCTTTCTTTCGTGGGCGTATAAAGCGCTTACCTCGCCTTCCCCCCGTAAGATGTTTTCCCTTTGTTTCCTGTTTTTGTAGTGCTTAAAGAGGAGAGGGGAGGGAAAAAAAAAAAGCCAACAACCCACCCTCTTTTTTTCTTTTCTTTTTCTTCTTGTCCTTCTATTTGTGTCAAGGTCTCAAAACGAAACATTTTGTCTTCCATCTTTGCCTTTGCTGCCCCAGGCATGTGCCTTCCGCCTGCATGGGGAGCCTGCTGTCTCCCTGGTTTGGGGGGACCTGCTTCCAGGGTTGAAAAAGAAAGTTGCTCCAGTGCAAGGCTGATGCATTGCTTTTATTTATTAGGGTAAAGATAGATTGCTGGGATTGGAGCTCAGGTCAGAAGGCAACAGCCAAAGAAATGGACTAATTTGCAGGTTATCACCATGTTTGCCACGTCTTTGTGTGGGACATGGTTGGTTGAGGCCAGGTGCATCAGGGCTTGCTTGGGGATGCCTCAGCTGCCTGTCCTCAGCTGGAGGTGCCACCAATGGAAAAGGGCTTGGGGATTTGTTTCAAGGGATGGAGATAGACTTCCCTCTGACCTAGCTTGCAGCGTGGTTTTGAGAAATTGGGAGAAAATCTCTCCGCATTCTGAAGATCCCTGGTGGTTTTCAACATTCAGAGGGAGAAAACGTTTTGTGGTGCTGAGACCTGCAGGAAAACACTGGGGATCCTCCTGCAGGCATGCAGGAGCAGCACCCAGCACTGGCTGTGAAGCGGTGCCCGTTTGGCAAATCAGGGGGACAGGGACTGTGCTGCTGAGGCCATCTGTTCTTGGTGGGTTTGGGCTTGCTTTCTTGGCAGCACCTTGGATAAGGCCGGCTCAGGTGCTTTCTGGAGTATGGGAAAGAGAAGCGAACACTTGGTAGGTGCACAGGAAGAGATGAATCTCAAGTCTGTACCAGAAACTCTGATCTTCTGCCAGCACTGGCTGCCAGCCCCAGTGCAGAGATGGCCTGTGCGCTTTTCCTACCTGTCCCAGCTGATTGCTTCTGTGATTCAAAAGCTTTAGGTCTCTAGAGGGAAAAGCCACCAGCTTTTCTTTGCTAGACAGCCTTGACACCAGAGATGCCTCCCTATTTGAAACAAGTCCCATCTCGCATCCCTGTGCTGCCATCTGTGCCAGGGATGTTTTGCTGGGACCTATGGAGCCCCACTGGTGGAGAGGCTGGGGTCGGCTCCACTGCCCCGCTCCTGGCTTGAACTGCTGGAGATTGTTTTACTCTGAAACAGGTTTGGTAACTTGTGACGGGCTGGATTTTTACAGGCTTACTTATTTTCCAGATGACTTGTTTATGAGGAGCGTGGCACGCAGCGCACCAGAGGCATTGTGAGCACAAGTGCCCAAGTGCTCGAGCGTTAATGTAGCTCTCATGACTGTAGATGGTGTGGGCTGGTGTCTGGCAGGCGTTCCCAGTGGCACTCTTTGAACATGCTTGGTCCCCAGATGACTTTTGCAGTAGGTCCTGTGAAGCTGGAGGTGTGCAAGTTCTCTCTGTGCCTCCATCTGAGCCTCTAACAGCACCCCAGAGCTGAACTGCCAGCCCAACCTCAGGGTTAGGTCACCTAACCCAGGTTTTGCCTATGCCCTGGCTCCTGCTCAGGAGCCTCAGGAGACCAGTGCCAGGCTCCTAAATGTGACTGATCATTGTGCCCTGGGATGCTGTCAGTCGGTCAGGCCGCTGTGATGAGTAATGACTTCTTGAGCCTTGGGCAGTGGCAGAAATCCCAGCACCCACCTAGCCTCGTGTTCTAGCTCCGTGCCATTCATCACCATCGATCTGTCAGGCTTCACTGTGCTGTGGTGTTGGGGGCAGTGGGGGATGTCAGTTCAGACTGATTGCCTGTGCCTTCAGTTTGAGAGGTCTCAAACCCATCTGGTTTTGCTGACCAGTTCTCTGTCTGGACTGGGACAGTCTTCTGCCTCCTCGGGATTGGATTAAGGGCTTTTCCCCACTGCTTTCTTTCTAAGCTTGAGCATTTTCTTTGCCCTTAGCCCATCAGGTTGCCAGTGGTGCTTGCTCTAGGCCTGCTGCTGGAAGTCTTCTGTATAGAGTTAATCTGGGAAGTGACAGCGGAGATGGAGGATGCTGGGAGGCAGCTTGGTGGGTTTGGGTGCTAAGGAGGAGGCTTGGGTGGAGGGGACAGGCTTGGTAAAGAAGAGGAGTAGGACAGGATCTGCAGCAGAGAATATGCTTTTACCATGGGATAAACGCTATGTGGATGGGTGCTGGTGAAGAGTGAGTTGGAAAGAGGAGAGAAAGAGAGGTTCATCAGAAGACCTTGAGCTGTTTTGCAAGGGGCTGACAAATTGTAGCC